ACAATTTTCATGCCCAAAGGAAAAGCTACCCATGTGTGTACATACACATCTGGCGTATGTGTAGAAAAATTTTAGACATTTAAAAGAACTTGAGTGGAACCATAAAGAAAAATGAGATCGAAGGAGACAGCAGTTGTTCACCTTTTACTCTTCGTAGGGAGGAACAATAAAATAAGCATGTGTCGTATTTGGCAAATGTTAGAGAAAATTATGGACCAGTATTTTAGGAAGGGGTTGTTACCTGTAAAATCACACCAATATAGATACAACTACACTGAAATAATACATAAAAAATGTTAAATGGAAATGTTTTAAAGTGCTATCATATAATCAAAAAAGAACCACAAGGCTTTATTTGATCAATCATATAGTAGAAACTAGGTCTTGTAAAAGCTACAACTTGTAAGTGCAAATGTGGGACTGTGTGATTCAAAAGTTAATTACTCCCCTAGATTCTGTTGTAAATTTGATGGTTGGAGTGTGTTTGCCTGGGGACAATGGACAATCAGTAATAGGGCGAGGTTACTCAGCCATCTGTTTGCCCTAAATCCAAACGTCCCGGGGCCCAGTATCTATAGGACAATCTGTAAACAGGGTGGTCATAACTGTCAGTCAGGATGTCTGCTGAACATCAGCATGTGACAATGAGCCACTAACCTTTGTTCCTTTTTTTTTTTTCTGTGAATCCACATGTTAACCCCCCCCCCCCCTTAACCCCCTATAAAATAACCTCAGACTCTGAGCCAGGTGCCTCTCTGAGCTATTTTGCTTCGGGAGTGCCGTCTGGCCAGACTAATAAAGGTCTGTTTTCCAACATGGCCGGTGTGTTCCTTCCCGGGTGGTCCTCGCTGTAGCTAGCTCCTTGGAGCGTTTGGTAAGGCCTTGGTCTTACATTCTGAAGGCACCACTGGGATCCCCGGGTGTGCTCCACTTCAGCTCCTTGGAGCATTTGGTAAGGCCCTTAGCCTTGCATTCTGGAGGCACCGCTGGGATCCCTGGGTGTGCTTCACTATAGTCAGCTCCTTGGAGCGTTTGGTAAGGCCCTCGGTCTTACACAAGTTTATGTGCTGGAGTCCACCTGTACTGTGATCTATCTAAAAACTCAATGTTAAGGCTCAATCTTCAGCACAACTAACCTCATTTTATACCTAACTGTAGACTACGTAAGTCTCAGGAATATTAACTCTAGTTCTGTTTCAGTAACAAAATGTATTCCTAGAAACTTATGAAGACACTGGTTTTTGTTTTTTTTTTTTGAAACAGGGCCTTGCTATGTAGTTCAAACTGGCCTTGGACTGTGTAGTCCAGGCTGGCTTCAAATTCCTGGCAATCCTCCTGCCTTGGCCTCCTGAGTGCTGGGATTACAGGCATGCATCACACCCAGCGACACACTGATTTTGAATGTCTTCTTTTAAAATTTTATAGCCAATGTCCGGTCCATTTTGTTCTAGCTATATGCCCATCACCAAGAGTAATGGAAAGTGCTATATAATTTTTTTTTTTTTTTTTTTTACTGAAAAGGCAACAGGGAAATGACTTCCATGCAAAATTATAAGCAATTACAAGGCCTGAAGCAGAGAAAAAAGGGACAAAAATGTTATGTGAAAGATTGGTTCTTAATTTCATGTGACCACATAACTACAATTTACTCTTTTGCTTCTCCCAGTGGGAGAGAAAGAAATCACAAGAATATAAATCTAAATCTACCCAAGGCAGCAGGAAGGCTAATGTCTTCTTTGGAATTCAAAGCAAGCAGGAAATAACAAAACACAAAATCGAACTTTTGATAGCAAAATTATTTGTAACGATACAGGGAGAGTATACATACATAATGGATCTAGTTGTTTTAGGGAATGATGGGTGAGTGAGCTGGCCTGTGCTACTCAGGAAAGCAATCCAGTAGTATTTTTCAAACCCTTTGTGATGAAGGACCAGTCTTAACCCTTGCAATGTCAAACATACTTTGTAAAATATGTATTTTTAAAATTACTAGAAAAATGATCCATTCTTTCATGTTGTAGCAATACAAAATTTCTAGAGATCCCTGAGACATAGTGAAGTTTTTTCAATGTTAACCTGATCTAAAATCTGGAATTTGTGTAGATTTTGATGTAAATTCAGAAAATTTGAGGTTTTTTCCATTACTCAATAATGAAGACAGTCTATAAGAGATAAAACAGACTTCCCATTGTTTTGAAATGTAAAACATTGCACTGTCTTAGATTGCACGGCCTTACTAAATTTATCATTTTGACTGCAACATTAGCATATAAGAATCTAAACTTCTATCAATTTGAACATTTTCCATTACCATTTACCTTAGAAGACAACTTAGGATACACTTAAAATTGCATATAAAAATTCTCACTTATGATATACTCCTGTCACTTCCTATACTTTTGCCTCTATGTTCTCAAAACTCCCCCAACCTACTACTTTAGCTGGTTGATAAGAGTAATTGGCTTCATTATCAAAGTAAATGGAGAAAAATTTATATGCCTGGCCTATAAATTCACAACCTCATGCAACTTTATATATATATCCTATTAGATAGGACTATTGAGAGAGTACATTGTGATTTAGGATCTGTGGACTCAAATTTCCACGATTCAAATTCACTTTACACCTAAGCTATTAAGATACTTATATCTTTAATGTTTATGTTTTCATTTGTGAAATGGAAGCATTAGCTACACATCAAAGGATTATTATGTAGGTTAATTCACATGTAAAATGACTGGAACACTGCCTGGCGCAAAAATTAGTACAGTAAGTGTTGTAACTATCAAAATTTTTATATATGCATCACATCCTTCTGTAGAAGTGTATAATTTATATTTATTAAATGAAACGTCACATCCTACAATTATTATTCATCAATTAAAATTATTTCAATTTTCTATTACGAAAATATATAACATCTCGCTGGACAAGGAGGACAGAATACTGTAGTAAGGTTATGCAAAGTGCAAGTTGCTGTGATCCTAAACGGGCGACTGCCAAAAGTGATTCAGGATAATTTACTATCTCTCTCCACCCTGAGAAAGAGACTTAAAATAAAATTGTGACTAAACTGCATTTTAGGATTAAGGAAATGAAAACACTGTTGTAATAGACTCTAGTCTCATTCACTGCCAAGAGACCATCACTTTTAGCAAGCTGAAATGTTCGCAACTGTACATATCAACAATCAGATGACACGATCACCCAAACCTAGAACATTAGTTACAGAACACTGAGATTATAAACACAAGAGTCCATATTTCTAGAATACTGAACAAGAGGTATCCGTGGCTTGACAGTACTCAGACAGTAATCTGTGGCAACCTTTTAAAACTATTTTATATTTCTACAATGAAACCAAGCTATTAATTTCATGTTTATAAGGATTTTTCTCGATTATTAGTTAGAATCTGATCAAATCATAATCACTCCTTAAATTTTTCTCTCAACTAATGATTTCCACTCTGCTACCTATGGTTCAATTTACCGTTTATTCTATGATAGCCAGAGCTTATTCCACAGGATCTGATCTACACAATTATGTGTTAGAGACAAAATATTTTCAGGTGTGTTTTCAAATGATATTCTACAAAGAATATATCAAGTGTTCAAGTTTACAGAAAATCATACAACTGACCATACAATTCACCAATATAAATGCCTTAACAGTTGTTTAGTCCCTTGTTTAAGTAATACTAATAAGCCTTAATCCATACAGCCACCACCTGTTTTTCCCTGTGCTATCCTTCTGACACTTACATAAGAACATCTCAACTCAATAACTAAATTTTACAACCCCCGTTATGTCAATCACAAGGTGATGTACCAAAATCCCAATTTCATAAATTTTTAACACATTGGAAGTATATTTATTTACCTAATACTGAAGTACTGTGCCTTATTTTATTAAAAACAAAGATAGCTACATCAGTTTAATTCCATACATATACTATCTATTAAATTTATTAAAAATTGTAGTAAACATAATAAACTAGTGCTCCAAATGTATGCTGTTCAGGAGGAAGACACTACAAAAGAAGACACAATAGAGACCGCCTTGCAATAAAAAGTACAAATTCCTTCTACAGAGATGGAGAAATAAAAGGACAAATCTAGGTGTCTAAAAGACAATTCACTGTACATATTTTATTTACAGTTTTGTACACTGTCTTAATATGAATGGGACCACTTTTCTACTTGAGCCATTTTTAACCAAAGCAAAATAACCTAAGTAATACAAAGTATTAAAATACAGCATAAAGATACAAAAACAGACATCTAATTCTAGTTAGGAATGTAGTTATGATGTTATATTTTTTTATAATCCACAATCGTGTTTAGGAAATCACATAAACATAGATCACTGATTTGAATGAAATGCATAAATTTGTAGCAAAGCTTTGTAGTTATAAAAAAAATTACCAAAGAATGCACAAAATTAATGTTTATTCCACCCTCGTGTCATATTCCTGGATCCTTTACCAATGTTACAGGAGGAAAAAACAATAGCAAAACAAATGAAAAACTGAAATCAGAATCACTAATGTTATTAAGTAGGGAAACAAATAAATTAAAATCTAGCAGCCATCAGCAAGAGTACAGCAAAGATAATGCTGTCAAAAGAAACAAAGAAAATTGCTAGAAAACTGTATGCATCATACTCTTCCAAACCAGCAAAATATGCTCCTGCATACAATGGAAC